GGAGGAGGAGGAGTAGGAGAAGCAGGAGGAGGAGGCGGGAGAGGAGGAGGAGTCATAAAGAGGAAGAGTTTGAGCTGGAGGAGGAGGCCCGGGAACAGCAGGATCAGAAGGCGGAAGGGGAGCGGCGGAAGAGCAGCAGCGGAACATGAAGACTAGACGGACGGGGAGGGGACGGAGAGCGCAGCAGGCGCTACAAGAACGTGCCCGTGATTGCCGCCCCTGCCGCATTAAGCCGCGCGCGGGCCTGCGTGGGGGGGGGCGCCCGCTGTCTCTCTTCGCATGTCTTCGGCGCTCTACGGTGGCTGTCTTCGCTGAGCCTCGCTGCCGCCCCACCCCTCCCTTCCTCCTCCCTCTCTTCTACCCCCTCCCTCCATCCTCCGCGCTCCCTCCCCCCTTCCCTCGCGCCGCTGCCCCTCCTCCCCTCCTCCACAATAGCTCAACGTGAATACTTCTCCCCTCTTACCCCTGAAGTGGCCGGGAAGCGGGAGGACCCCCCCTGCGTACTGGTCTGCGTACTGATCTTGCACACAGGATTTCAACACATTTCCGATGTTTTTTTCAATCCGCTGCAGCGTGGGCCTCATTTTAGGATCGTCGCTCCGTCCTCATCGTTCAGCATGGCGCTCGCGCGCCAGCGCGGGGTACTTTTCTGAATCCGAGTGGTTTCTCTTTGTTTTATCTTCTCGTAGTTTCCAGTCGTCCCGCTCCTTCCCTCTCCCCCGCCTCTCCCTGGTCGGCCTGCTCCTGCCGCTTCTCCCCACTCCAGCTTCTGGTGCTGCTGCTGTTCCTCCTCGTCGTCCTCCTCCTTCCTCAATCGATTTCGCAGTCCTAGAGGTTGACACCAACACCAAGATCGGCGGTGTGCCTCCACCGAGGAAAGACGATCCCGATCTCGGTGATGGTGGTAATATTCTGGCTTCCAAGGTGACCGAAATATTACCACCAACACCGAAATCTAAGATCATCATCTCCCTGTGAAAACAAACCCCTGTGCTGGTGTTGGTGCCAATTTCCAGGCCTCCAACAATCCCCCCCCCTTCCTCCTGCTCATCCTCCTCTTCGTCCGCCACCTCCTCCTCCGATCTGCGCGAGCCGCTTTGGCGGAGGCGTCTGCGCCCTCAGCGTGCAGGCGCTCCCGAGCGGCTCGTGCCTGCGGGCCAACTTTGTGTCCGTGAACGCTCGGGCCTGCAGCAGATGGGCCCACCGCCAGAGTCGCAGGCCTAGAGGTTGACACCAACACCAATATCGGCGGTGTTCCTCCACCGAGGGAAGAGGGTCCCGATCTCGGTGATGGTGGTAATTTTCTGGCTCTCAAAGTGACCGAAATATTACCACCAACACCGAAATCGAGGATCATCTTCCCCCTGTGGAGGCACCCCCCTGTGTTGGTGTTGGTGCCAATTTCCAGGCCTCCCACAGAGTGCTTGCTCAGCTCTGACCGACAGCAGAAATATTCTAGACCTTTCTCTTTTGTTTTGCGTGCCCTCCGCGATCCGGCGACCCGCGGCGGGGACAGGGCTCTTCGGCTTCCTCGGAAGTGGTGCAATTTGGACGTTGTGGTCACCCTGCTGCCCTGGCAAGCAGCTTGCCTGGGCAGTCGGGCCTGTCCCTCTACAGGGGGAACATTCAAAAATAGAAATTATCCCAGAGCGACCCTACCTAGGAGTTGGAGCCCCGAGGAGAGCAATATTAGTAGTAGCGGTAGTAGCTATGCTATGCTATGCTATGCTATGCTATGCTATGCTGCGCTATGCTATGCTATGCTATGCTATGCCGCGCTATGCTAGGCTATGCTATGCTATGCTATGCTATGCTGCGCTATGCTATGCTATGCTAGGCTATGCTGCGCTATGCTATGCTAGACTATGCTTTGCTATGCTTTGCTATGCTATGCTATGCTGCGCTGTGCTATGCTATGCTAAGCTATGCGATGCTATGCTGCGCTATGCTATGCTATGCTATGCTATGCTGAGCTATGCTATGCTGCGCTATGCTATGCTGCGCTATGCTATGATATGCTATGCTATGCTATGCAATGATATAGCCTAGGCTAAGCTAAACTAAGCTAAGCTAAGCTAAGCTAGGCTACGCTAAACTAAGCTAACATACACTAAGCTAAGTTAAGCTAGGCTAAGCTAAGATGAGATAAGCAAAGCTAAGCTAAGGGGGCGCAACTGGGGGAACCGCGGGGCGGATACTGGGAGAACCGCCCGGGGTGAGGAACACTGCCCAGCCCCTTTAAGCCCAGCGAGTAAGAACCCTCTAGGCAGAGCCTAGGTAGGGAAACATTATCCCAGTGCGACCCTGCCTAGGAGTTGGAGCATTTAGGAAAGCAACATCTACATCTACACCGGCAGCTACATTTACATCTACACCTGCATCTACATCTACATCAACATCAACAGCGATATTCACATCTACATCTACATCGACACCTACATCTACACCTACATCTACATCTACATCTACATCTACATCTACATCTACATCTACATCTACATCTACATCTACATCTACATCTACATCTACATCTACATCTACATCTACATCTACATCTACATCTACATCTACATCTACATCTACATCTACATCTACATCTACATCTGCATCTACATCTACATCTACATCTACAGCTACAGCTACAGCTACAGCTACAGCTACAGCTACATCCTACGTCCTACATCCTACATCTACATCTACATCTTCATCTACATCTACATCTACATCTACACCTACATCCATATCTACACCTACACCTACATCTACATCTACATTTGCACTTTCGCATTGGTTTTGTTTTTGCTTTGCATTGCCTTTGCTTTTGCTCTTGCTTTTGCTTTTGCCTTTGCCTTTGCTTTTGCTATGCTACGCTATGCTATGCTATGCAGCGCTATGCAGCGCTATGCTATGCTATGCTATGCTATGATATGCTGCGCTATGCTATGCTATGCTATGCTAGACTATGCTGCGCTAATGCTATGCTATGCTATGCTAGGCTATGCTTTGCTATGCTTTGCTATGCTATGCTATGCGGCGCTGCGCTATGCTGCGCTGCGCTAAGCGAAGCCAAGGTAAGCTAAGCTAAGCTAAGCAAAGCTAAGCCAAGCTACACTAAGCTAAGCTGAACTAATATGAGACGAGATAAGCTAAGCTAAGCTAAGCTAGGCTAGGCTAGGCAAAGCTAAGCTAAGCTAAGCTAAGCTAAGATGAGATGAGCTAAGCTAAGCTAAGCTAAGCTGGGTGAACCCAGGGGTCGCAACTGGGGGAACCGCGGGGCGGATCCTGGGGGAACCGCCCGAGGCGAGTTCCACTGCCTGGCCCTTTAAGCCCAGAGAGTAAGAACCCTTCTAGGCAGAGCCTAGGTGGGGAAATAGTCTGGGGGCTACTTTTGATTATTTGGAGCATCTTTTGTGTATTTTGCTGATTTTTTGAATTACCTAACAGCTTTTGCTGATCGGTTTCTAGTGCTCTCAAGAGAGAGGGCATCTTGACGCCCCAGGGGGGTCTGGGCGGGACCCGGACAGGGGATCCGGCAGGATCCGGCAGCCCCAGGAATCCTTAGGAATCCTTCGGAACTCTTAGGAATCCTTAGGAATCCATTCCCAGAACACCATTCCCAGGCCACATTTTGAATGCCCGGAGCCAACTGTAGGCCACTTCGTGTTCTTCGTCTTCCCAGAACACCACTCCCAGGCCACATTTTGAATGCCCGGAGCCAACTGTAGGCCACTTCGTGTTCTTCGTCTTCCCAGAACACCATTCCCAGGCCACATTTTGAATGCCCGGAGCCAACTGTAGGCCACTTCGTGTTCTTCGTCTTCCCAGAACACCATTCCCAGGCCACATTTTGAATGCCCGGAGCCAACTGTATGCCACTTCGTGTTCTTCGTGTTCCCAGGATGCCGGTAGGCCACTTCGTGTTCTTCGTGCTCCCGGAACACCATTCCTGAGGCAGGCTGAGGCTGAGCCAGGCTGAGACTGAGGCTAAGGCAGGTTGAGGCTGAGGCTGAGGCTGATGCAGGCTGAGGCTGAGAGGCTGACGCTGAGGCTGAGGCAGGCTGAGGCTGAGGCTGAGGCCGAGGCAGGCAGAGGCTGAGGCTGAGGCAAGCCGAGGCAGGCTGAGGCTGAGCTGAAGCAGGCTGAGGCTCAGGCAGGCTGAGACTGAGGCTAAGGCAGGTTGAGGCTGAGGCTGAGGCTGATGCAGGCTGAGGCTGAGAGGCTGAGGCTGAGGCTAAGGCAGGCTGAGGCTGAGGCTGAGGCTGAGGCCGAGGCAGGCTGAGGCTGAGGCTGAGGCAAGCAGAGGCAGGCTGGCTGAGGCTGAAGCTGCGGCTGCTGAGGCTGAGGCTGCGGCTGAGGCTGCAAGCTGCGGCTGAGGCAGGCGGAGGCTGAGGCTGGCAGGCTGAGGCTGAGGCAGGCTGAGGCTGAGGCTTGAGGCTATGAGGCTGCTGAGGCTAGCTGAGGCAGCTGAGGCTGAGGCTGAGGCAGGCTGAGGCTGAGGCAGGCTGAGGCTCAGGCTGAGGCTGATGAGGCTGAGGCTGAGGCTGAGGCCCGAAGCTGAAGGCAGACTGAGGCTGAGGCTGAAGCAGGCTGAGGCTGAGGCTGAGGCAGGCTGAGGCTGAGGCTGAGGCAGGCTGAGGCTGAGGCAGGCTGAGGCTGAGGCTGAGGCTGAGGCAGGCTGAGGCTGAGGCTGAGGCAAAGGCAGGCGAGGCTGAGGCTGAGGCTGCTGGCTGAGGCTGAGGCTGAGGCAGGCTGAGGCTGAGGCTGAGGCTGAGGCAGGCTGAGGCTGAGGCGAGCTGCGGCTGAAGGCAGACTGAGGCTGAGGGCTGCAGCTCAGGCAGGCTGACTGAGGCTGATGCAGGCTGAGGCTGAGGCAGGCTGAGACTGAGGCTGAGGCAGGCTGAGGCTGAGGCTGAGGCTGATGCAGGCTGAGGCTGAGAGGCTGACGCTGAGGCTGAGGCAGGCTGAGGCTGAGGCTGAGGCCGAGGCAGGCTGAGGCTGAGGCTGAGGCAAGCCGAGGCAGGCTGAGGCTGAGGCTGAAGCTGAGGCAGGCTGAGGCTGAGGCTGAGGCTGAGGCTGGCTGAGGCTGAGGCTGAGGCAAGCTGCGGCTGAGGCAGGCTGAGGCTGAGGCTGAGGCAGGCTGAGGCTGAGGCAGGCTGAGGCTGAGGCTGAGGCAGGCTGAGGCTGAGGCTGAGGCCAAGGCAGGCTGAGGCTGAGGCCGAGGCAAGCCGAGGCAGGCTGAGGCTGAGACTGAGGCTGATGCTGAGGCAGGGTGAGGCTGAGACAGGCTGAGGCTGAGGCTGAGGCTGGCTGAGGCTGAGGCAGGCTGAGGCTGATGCCGAGGCAGGCGAATCCTTCGGAATCCTTAGGATTCCCTAGGAATCCTTAGGAATCCCTAGGAATCAGGATTCCTAAGGGTTCCTAAGGTTTCCTAAGGATTCCCATGGATTTCGTAAGGATGCCTAAGGATGCCTTAGGAATCCCTAGGAATCCTTAGGAATCCTTAGGATTCCATTGGATCCTAAGGCCGTTGCCACTGCGACTGTCATTGCGAATGCGACTGCGACTGCGAGAACTGCAAAATTCTACAAGTGGATTCTCACCTGAATCTTCAGGGGAATGCTTCCAGATATGCTTATACACATCGCTGTTAGGTTGCTTTGCCGGGGTATTATATATATATATATATATATATATATATATATATATAAAAAAGGTTCGTCAAAAATCCCCCCCCCCCCTGTAGGGGGACAGGCCCGGCCTGACGCTCGCCAGGGCGGCACCTCCCCCACGGGAGCCGCAGCCGTGGCTGCGACGGTAGCGGGGCGCCGCGTGTGGCCTGCCGGCAGCGCCGCAGGGCAGCGCCGCCCGGGAGGGCGTGCCCGCCGGCCGGGGCTGCGGCCGAAGTCGCGGCGGTGCCCAGGCGAGGTGCAGTCGGCGTCACCCCTAACATACTTGCATACTGTATGTGCGTCGCCCCCCCTTCGAGGGGTCCTGGACACTCTTCGAGTGGCCCTGGACTCTTCGGGTGGTCCTGGACTCCTCTTGTTGGCGTCCTGGCCCACCCTCTGGCGCCCCCTCCTCTTCCTCCTCCTCTTCCTCCTACCCCTCCTCATCTTCCCCCCGCCCTCCTCCTCCTCCTCCTCCTCCTCCTCCTGCGACCCCCGGGCGCCCTCGCGAACCGTACTATGGACGCCTCGAAGTGCCGAAGAGTCTCCGAAGGGCCCCAGGTGCAGGAATCAGCGCCACCCCAACATGCTTATACTGTATGTGCGTCGCCCCCCCCCCAGGGGCGACGCGCGCACCGAGACATCTTATAGTATATGCGTCGTGGCGGGCGCTTTCTGGCCACGCCGCTGGGGGAACGATGTGCTACAAGATGGGTATGCTATACGTTCGGGTCGGGCGCGCGCCTCCAGGGTGGACATATAGTACTGGCATGTCTCTGCGCGTCCCATGCAGGGCGGGGGCCGTGTGACAAGTGGGTGCAAGGGGCGCCCAGTTTGAGCGGTTCCCTGCTCAACACCATCAATCGAGCAGGTGGTCGACTGCAATATTTTTTTCACCCCAGAGCTGTTTTTTTTTGTCCGTCGGCTCTATGAACCAATGCGTAGACTGCTCCGGAGATCTACGGAGCCTTCCGGGTACTTCTCGTAGCCTCGGCGAAGAGAAATCAATGTTGGGGTGAAGCAATTCTGTAGTCGACCCCTTGCTCGAGTCGAGGCCCTGGAGGCCAAGGTTGCGAAGCTCACGGTCGTCGACACGCCTGCTGGATCTCATGAGAGCTCGGGCACTGGTGGCTCGCCGCCGGGGAGCGACGAAGCAAGTGGTGGCGACTCGAGCATCCCTCGGAGTTTTTTTTTTTGTTTTTTTTTGTTTTTTTGTTCTCTTCGGCCAGGGCCTTTGAGTAGCATCAGTATTGTTTAACCGATCCCTATCCCCATCCTCATCCAAATCTCGAGCCCCACCGTCTCACCACCTCAGTTGGGGATGTGCCTCTCGAAGCCCGAAGGGAGCAGCCTATATCCATCCAGGGGGGTAAATCGGCCAGTGGGGCCCAGCCCGCGCTGGTGGGGATGGGGATCGGTTAAACGATGTTCAGAGCATCTGGGATCATTTGCGAAAGAAAAGAACAGACGCACACCAGATCGAACAAGCCACGAGGAATGGACGTCCGAGCGATAGACAAGTGTGGCGGCCGCTGGGTCGACGGGCAGTGACGTGTGGGCTTCCTCAAGCTCCAGGGAGTCGACCCGTCGGCCACTGCGGCAGTTGACGCGGCGGAGAGGAAGGTTTCGGTGGCCAACGTCAAAGCTCCCAGCGCGCGCACGGCGAGGTGCAAGGTGGATGACGTCCGCACCGAACCTGGCAAGGTGAAGTCGCGTGCTGCAGCGCTTGGGGCTGCAGAAGATGGAGCTGGAGTCTGCGCTCGCCGATGTCCAGTCCAGCATGGCGGCGTCCTATGTGGAGGTGGGCAAGGCCGAGGAGCTGCTCGTCAAGCTCCAGGCGGCAGACCTCGGCGATCCCCTCAAGGCCGCCTCGGCCAGCCTCGACGTCGCGGTCGTCGAGCCCCAGGCGGGCAGGGATGCAGTCGCGGTTCTTCACGGCTCCAGGCAGCAGCTGACCAGGCCAAGGGTGCTCCCCCATGCTGCTGCCGCTCCCCCCGCTGACGGGGGTTGGTTCCGCTGCTGGAGGGACGTACGCCTCCGTCGACAAGGGTGTCAACGTCCCCGTCGACAGCGACGACATCGACGTGGGCGCGCTGCAGGGTGACGGCCTGGCGCGGCGCCAGGCCGATTTCGTCAGGGCGCTCGGCGATCTGCGGAAGGCCCCGCTATCCGAGCAGGAGGCCGCCAAACGCTCCTGCGCCCAGGCTGCGGCGACCTTGGGAGTCAAGCTTGCACGGCATCCTTGACCTGAACGAGGTAGGCATGGCCAACATCTCGAACTTCTGGGAGGCCAAGAGCATCGACTTGGAGTGGTCTGCTCTGGGCTTCTTTGTTCCAGCTGTGAGGCCTGAGCGGTGCTTCTCATCTTCGATGGAGCGTCCGTACCTGAGAGGCCCTCTCAAGGAAGCAGTTCCCCTCGTTCGCTCTGGTGGCGTCGTCGCTGGCAGTCGTGTGGGTGCATCCACATCAAAATGGGGCGGGGTCATTTCCAACATGGGTGGGCTTATTTCAACTGGGGGGTGGGCGCCTGCGACGCGCAGCCTGCTCGTTCTTGCGGTGTTCACGGCGGGTGTCGAGTGGGTGGTTGTTCTTCCAACGTGGTTGGGGGTACTTCCATCGTGGGTGGCTCTCTCCCCGATGCAGTGCCAGGTGTTGGTGCTGCTTGTCCTGCTCGTTCTGGTGGTGAGTGCACCGGCTGTCGAGCGGGAGCTACGGTCGGCGTGGAGGCGGACAGCGGCGGTGAAAGTCCTGCGCGTGCAGGCTCGGTCCTGCTCGGTCCTCCTCCTCCTCCTCCTCCTCCTCCTCCTCCCTCCCACTGCCTGCTTGTTGTGTCCAGTGTGGTTCGGCAGCCGCAGCCTTGCCCACCCTCTGCGGGGTGGCGCCTCCTGTGCCTTCAGGCCTGCAGTACTTCCATACTCCTGGTTCCATGGGCTTTCTCCGCCCTGCAAGGCGCGCTCCTAGACGATACGTTTCTGGGGCATTTTCGTATCAGCCTCCCCTTCCTCCTTCGGCTCCTCCTCCTTCCTCTCGCCTCGCCTCCTCCTCCTCCTCCTCCTCCTCCTCCTCCTCCTCCTCCTCCTCCTCCTCCTCTCCTCCTCAAAGAAATTCGCTGGCCGGTTTGGCGGTACAAATTTAAGTGATTCACCTTTGCCAGCCCCGCGGTACAAATTTAAGTGCTTCGCCCTGCCGTTTTGAAGGCTGTTTCAATGGGGGTGCACTCTGTCGGTGCCAAACAAAAAATAATTTGCTCGGTTCTGCTCGGTCCTCCCTCCTCCCTCCTCCTCTTCCTCCTCCCTCCTCCCCTCCTCCCCTCCTCCCCTCCCTCCTCCTCCTCTTTCTCCTCCTCTTCCTCCTCCTTCTGTCGGTGCCAAAAAAATAATTCGCAAGGGGGCTGGGCAGATGGTGCTGAACTCGTCTGCTGGGGGCGGCGCGCGCTGGCCCCCGAGCCTCGGCGCGAACGGGCTGCTCGTCAGCCCCCGGGCCAGGGCTGGACCTCAACGGTGTTTTTGGTGCTTTCGTGGGCCGTTGTCGTTTCGACTTCGTTTCGGCTTCGTTTCGACTTCGTTTCGACGTCGTTTTGACATCGTTTCGAGTTCGTTTTGACTTCGTTTCGAGCTCGTTTTGACTTCGTTTTGATTTCGTTTTCGGTGATTTCGTGGGCCGTTGTCGTTTTGACTTCGCTTTGCAGCGAAGGCGGATTAGAGACAAACGCGAAGGAACATGAACACATAACGAAAACGAAAAAAACCGTCTAGGGTCAGCCCTGCCCAGGGCAGTGCATGATGCAGCTCGTGGAGCTGGCGGTGCCGATGCCGGTGCCCATTGCGGCTGGCAGTTCAGTGTTTGCTTGACCCTCCTGCCCGCCCTGCGCAGGGCCAGGTTGGAAAAACGCAGGTCAGGATCCCAGCTCGAGTCGCTCGGGCTGTCAGGTCTCAACGTCAACTTGTGGATCACGTTCGAGTCGGTGATTGATTGGATGGCAAATGAAGGTAAAGCTGGCGGCGCCATCCCCATTCTCCATGTATACTGCGTGCAGGAGGCCCGCATCAAGAGCGGCGCCGAGCAGATTTCCGCCATGGGCGGTGGAAATCGGCATGGGTATCATACCTCCCTTGGGCGCGCTAGTAGCGCGGGTGCTGGTGCGAACCAGAGTAGTTCAAGTGTTGCAGTTTATGTGCACGCGTGTTTTGGCTCGATGTCCACAGCAACTGCGGTTCTCGAGGACTGCTCCAGCAAAGTTGCGGGACGGTTGGCGTAGGCTTTTCCAAGGGGGTCGTCGTGCTGAGCGCCTGTTTTGTCGCTGGTCAGGGGCTCGCAGGGTAGCCCTGGGCGACTGCCTTCTGGGGCAGGAGGGGCCGTGAGTCCTACGGGGGGATTATTGAATCGCTTCGCTCATTCCGACGGGGGGGAGTCTTGAACGCGTCGCGGGCCGTCTGGAAGCGTTTTGCCTACTGGGCCGTGAGTCCTGCATGGGGGATTATTTTGAATTCTCCGCCCGACGCGCGCACGTGGCCTGGATGGCCCCAGAAGGATCGCGTGGCCTTCCTGCTTCCCTCTTCGGGGGGCGGGCGGAAGCCCAACCTGCTTGCAACGCCTTCCCCTTTCATGTTTCTACCCGCTTCTTCCGACCGACGGGTAAGCCAACCCCTCCTCGCCCCCTACGGTGGAGGCCAAGCCCACGCGGAATAAGTCTATACGGAGTGCTCGTTTTCCGTATGGACTTCAACCGTCAGGAATTCGCCTCCCTTGGAGTGCTCGGGTTCCGTATGGGTTTACTCCGTCGGGGCTTAACTTTTCCTGACCCTCTGGTCATGGTGCTCCAATTCAGCCTTGATCGCCCGAGAGTGCCGAAACCGTAGGGTCTTCACGTGTCGGGCCCTGGGAGGCGATACGCGTTCGACACCTCGCTCGCGTGTCGGGCATCCACTTAGGGGAACGAGCAATGCTAGAAGCACAACAGCTCGGAGGTCCGCGCAGGTTTCTCGGATCGGCGCTCGACCCCCCTCCCTGGCGCGCGGAGCGTGCCAGGGGCGGCGCGAGGCGCCGCCAGGGGGGCCCCAGCACCGATCCGAGAAGTCCGCGCGGACCTCCGAGTTTTTTCGTCTGCGTCGTTGCTCGTTCCCCTGGTGCTGTTTCGACAGCCCTCTGGGTGCTCGAGGTTCGCTCTGGGATGTGGCCCCGAGGTACGGTGGGAACGGCCCCCCCCCCCCCCCTTTGGCCGCGTCCTTTCTCCGTCTGCCGACCCGCTGCAGGGATGCCCCCACCCACCAAACCACCCAACCCAACCCGAAGGCCTCCATGTGCCCTCCATTTCCAGTGGGGGGGGGGGGTCGGGGAACATCGAAAAAACACGCATGGAGCCCATACCCCCCTCGACCCGAAATTTGGGTCTTCGGGTTGGGGTTTGGGGTGGTCTGGCAGGTTGGCAGGGATGCCCCCCGGCCCCCCCCTCCCCGCCCGCGGAGGTCACCGAGGGCGGGTGGTCCCTCGCGGCGGACTCCGCGGCCGCGGGCGCCAGCGACCTCGACCGTGTGGCGCCCTCGCCGCCGCCGCGGCCGCCGTTCGTCGTCGTCGTCGTCGTCGTCGTCGTCGTCGTCGTCGTCGTCGGCGTCGTCAACGTCGTGGTCGTCGTCGTCGTCGTTGGTCGTTCGTCGGTCGTCGTCGTTATTCGTCGTCGTCCTTGTCGTCGTCATCGTGATCGTCGTCGTCGTCGTCGCCGCCGTCGTCGTCGTCGTCGTCGTCGTCGTCGTCGTCGTCGTCGTCGTCGTCGTCGTCGTTCGTCGTTCGTCGGTCGTCGTCGTTATTCGTCGTCGTCCTTGCCCGAGAAGAGCAAGGTGGATGATGCCGAGGATGACGACGACGATGATGGTGATACTGATGGTGATGAGGAGGATAATGATGAGGATGCTCATGGTGACGATAACGATCATCATGTTGCTGTTGTTGCCGATGATGCTGAGGATGTTGATGGACATGATACTGATGATACTGATGATGATGCTGATGATGATGATGATGAGTATGTCGATGATGGTGATGATGATGATACTTCGAAGATGATGGTAACGATCGTGATAACGACGATGCTGATGATGGTGGTGGTGTTGGTGGATATGATGATGGGTGATGAGGATGAGGACGATGATCACTGCTGGTGATTCGAAGGCTGGTTCTGATTATCATTCTGATGACGAGGGGGCCGACGAGGAAGGGGTGAGGGGTGGAGCAGGATGCAAAGGACGGAGGGATGGAGGGAGGGAAGATGATGATAGGACACGCAGCATAAGGAAGGGGGACGAGGGGGAATAGGTTTAGTAGGGGACGGGTCGACAGTTGCGGATACGGATGATGCTGATGATGATGATGATGATGATGATGGTGCTGATGCTTATGATGATACTGGTCATACTGCTGATGTCGATGGTGCTGACGATGATGGTGATGATGATGACGATGATGATGCTGATGATGATGATGCTCATGCTGCTTATGATGATGTTGATGATGTTGATGCTGATGCTGATGCCGATGACGACGACGATGATGATGCTAATGCTCATGCTGATGCTGCTGATGTCGATGGTGCTGACGATGATGGTGATGATGCTGATGGTGATGATGCTTGTGATGGTGATGTTGATGATTATGATGATGATGATTATGAATCTGCTGATGCTGCTGCTGCTGATGATGATGCTGATAATGATGATGAATATGATGCTGCTGCTGCTGCTGATGATGATGATGATTATGTTGATGTTCATGATGGTGCTGATGCTGATGCTGATGCTGATGCTGATGATGCTCACGATGTTGACGTTGATGATGATGATGCTGATTCTGATTCTGGTGATGATGATGACGATGATGATGATGATGATGATGATGATGATGATGATGATGATCATGATGATCATGATGCTGATGATTATGCTGCTGCTGATGATGAGGATGCTGATGATGCTCTTCCATGTTTGTATGACAGAGCTATTCCATGATGAGGATGCTATTCCATGCTATTCCATTATATGATGATGATGATGATGATGATGATGATGATGATGATGATGATGATGATGATGATGAGGATGAGGATGATGATGATGATGATGATGATGATGCTGATGATGATGATGATGCTGCTGCTGCTGATGATGATGATGATGATGATGATGATGATGGTGGTGGTGGTGGCGGTGGTGGTGGTGGTGGGGGGGGTGGTGGTGGTGGTGGTGGTGGTGGTGGTGGTGGTGGTGGTGGTGGATGATGATGATGATGATGATGATGATGATGATGATGATGATGATGATGATGATGATGGTGGGTTGTGGTGGTGGTGGTGGTGGTGGTGGGGATGATGATGATGATGATGATGATGATGATGATGGTGATGATGGTGATGATGATGATGATGATGATGATGATGATGATGATGATGATGATGATGATGATATTCCATGAGGGAGAGATCACATCCTCCCATTCATCTGACATCACGATCCCAAACAGGCCTTGCACCGAGAGGGAGCGGGCACGAGGCCACCAGGCCCCCCAGCGAAGCGCGGCAACCCTCGCACCCGCGCCGACACGGGGGCCCCGGCCAACAGCCACGAGCCAGGCGCACACCACCAGTCCTCGGGCCGCTCGCGACTCGGCAGGGCCTCGCCTCTCGCTGGCACTGCACGCTCGGGGGGGGGGTCCAGCCGCCTCCCCCCTCGAGAAATCCTTTGACTCGGCCTCGCGCGGGCGATCGGCTGCGCCCGCGCTCCCCCGTGCGCGCCCGAGGCCCGGGCGCGCCGAGGGGTCCGCTCCTGGTCGGCTCGGGGGCTCGCCCCGCTTGGAGGCGGCCCCTCGCCGCCGTCGCTCGGTCTCCGCGCGCGCCGCGGCGAGTCCAGGCATCCCGGCGCGGGGCGCGAAGGCGCCCGCCGCAGGCGGAGCAGGAAGCCCGCCTGCCTCCCGCCTGCCACATCCTGCGCGACTCGTGCACGGGGGCGGCTGCACCACGCCGGCTGCGCCGCGGGCGGTGGCGGCGGGGGCGGTAGCGCCTCCTGCCCCCGCGTGGCGCTGGCCAGCCTCCTCGGCCACGCCTTCACCGCCCACCGAACCACCCCAACCCAGCCCGATGGCCCCGATTTGCCCTCCATTTCTTGTGGGAGGGGGGGGTCGGGGAACATGGAGCAAAACACAGATGAAGCCCGTACTACCCCCCCCAACCCGAAATTCGGGCGAACTGCGGGTCTTCGGGTTGGGTTGGGGTGGTCTGGCAGGTAGTCAGATGGCTCCGCCGTCGCCCTCGACACTCGCCGCTGCCAGCGCCACGGCCGCCCCCGCGCGGACCGCCGCTGCCGCCGTCGCGCCTGGTTCACAGGTCGCCTCAAAGCCCTGCCGAGGTCACGCCGATGCCACTGATCACGGGCTCGCCGAAGTCCAAGGCACTCCGCGCACGACCACACAGCGACGCCCTCCACCATCAGCGCGGGACCGTTAGTGGCGGCAGGGGGCGCCGCGGCACTAGGGGCCTCGCGCCTCGCACGCCCGCCTCCGCGCCTCCCGGTTCCTCTCCCCTCCTCCCCCTCTCTTACCCTCCAGGGTATTCCCCCTCACCGTCAGGCGTCCTTACCCGCGCTCGGCGTTTCACCCCCCCCTTTCCCCTGGCTTTTGGCCAGGGCGGCGGGGCCGGACAGGTGGTGTACAGCCTCGCGCGCCCTCTTCCGCCGCTGCCTGCACCTCGCTGCTGCCAACCGGGGGGCCTGGCTCCGTCAGCCGCCAGTAGCGCCTCCTCGCCAACCTGCGCCGCGCGGCCGATCCGCGACGCAATCCTGCCCGCCAGGCGGCCGGCCTCTTCCGCGCGCGCCAGCTGCTCGTCGTCGAAGGGGTGCATCGCCGCTGCCTCCTCTCACGAGAGATCGATCGGGCCTGTGCGAGCCGATCTCGATTGCAGCACGCGTTCACCTTTCACACAGATATTCCGTGGCCCTCGTGCGCACAGCATAGAGAAGCATATTGGCCTTTGTGTGCACAATGTGGCCGCCCAGCCTCTGCCAGTCTGCGATGCGGCCCTGCCTCACGTCCTCGAGCGTCGCGTGGGCCTTCGCCTGTGCGAGCCTGATGGCCCCGCCCCCCATCTCGTCGGCGAGGTGCCAGAGCCGCCGCCACACCTCGCAGAAGGGACGGTGCCAGGCCGAGCACCACCCGCGGCCAGCATCCAGGCTGTGCAGCACCCGCGTGCAGTCAGTGAAGATGTGGACGTGGCCCAGCGCCGCGTGCATGGCCTCGCGCACCACCATCAGCTCGGCCGACCCCGAGCACTGTGGCAGCGGCCAGTGCACGGTGCCCAGCAGCCCCTGGTCGAGCCTGCGGTCCCGCAACATCGTGACGACAGCCCAGCCCGCACGTGACGCCTCCTCGCACTGCGGCCTCGGGGCGGAGTAGTCCACGAGCAGGTCGCCGCACAGCGGCTCGTCGCGCCCGCTGGCGGCCCTCTCCTCTCCACTTGGCGGTCCTCCTCGCCTAGTGGAGTCCCGATAGCCCACTGCCCCGCGACCAGAGCGGGTCCTCCTCGCCGCTGGCCGCGCCGATGGCCACCGCCGCCGCCATCTCGTCGTTTTCCTCAAGTTCCTCGTCGAGCTGGCTCCTCATGATTTCGGCGGCTGCGCAGCTCCCTGCCAGGTGCCTCGTCGTCTCCCGAGCTGGGCATTTCATGCGGGCAGCCCCCCGACGACGCCAGCGGGACGTCCAGCGCGGCTCGCCGCCATACTGGCCACAGGCATCCTGTGAACGCGTTGATCGTGCCGCCCCCACCTTCTGGACGCGGGTGAACCTGGCGACCTCCTTCTTGCTGTGCTTCATGCCCGCGCCTCCGTCTCCAGCGGCGGTGAGCCTTGTGCTCGCGGCCGCCTGCCCCTGCGCCGCCCGCTTCAAAATACTGGGAAAACGGGTTCACAACCAACTCAAAAAAGTTAAACTCTGTTTTTTATGTTTTTTTTTTGTGGTGCACAGTGTTTACAGAAACGCAACAAACACTATTTTTCATTCATGAAATGGGGCCGCGCAACCTCCGTCTTGATCGTATGCCCGCCCAGCTCGAACACCTTCAGACGCCTCCCCTCGTCCGTCCCGAAGGCTCCTGGTTTGGTGGGGGGTCCATCCTGGGGGTGCGCACGCCAGGGCCACCTGCGCTCGCGGGCCCCCGTCCCGTGAGGCCGCCTCTGCCTTCCTCCTGTAGCCTCCTGCGCTGGCGGCGAAGGCGCCCCCGGCCATGCGCCCCTCCTCGTCGCCTCTCCGTGTCTGGATCGCCCGCGCCCAGGCCTGGATGGACATCCACGCGTGCTCGAACATGGGATCCACTGGCTGCTTCTTGGCCAGCAGGAGCCCCATCGATAGCGAGCGTCCTCGCCCGCTGCCGAAGTGGATGCCCCCCCCACCCGGCTCCTAAGCTTCTACAGCCGCACGTCCGACCATGCCGAAGTAGCTTCTCTGTGCCGATTAACAGGGCGCAGCCCCGTGACCGCGAGGTGCTCCGCGGCCTTCTTAG